CTAACACAGACTACTGGTATATATGGTACAATATTCCAGTAACGCATTTTTCTGTTCAGTTGATCGTCTAGCATCTCGTTAATTCGCTTATGTTGCACTGTTGATCAAACTCTGATTTATTTTCTTACATTGCCCGAATAAAACGTGACAGATTGAAATAGTTCTTCAATTCATGCAAATTTACCCGAGGCATTCACGTTATGTCAGTTAAAACATGAATTAAGCTTCTTAATGTCCGACTATAACCTGATTTGTCCCATTCTTTGGATAAGTTGCTCATAGTTTCACAATAGATCCACGTCACTCATGTACTAGGACTATTTTTACGATGCTTATTAACACCTCGATAATCAGTCACCATAGTCGCTACATATGATACAATTCATGGCTAGTGTAAATTACATACACATACATTTATTTACACATCTAAACTACTTCAGAACAGCCGAAAGTGAAATTTTCGAATATTTAGCGAAGGCTTTGGAAATGTGATCTTCTCGTAAACCATATTAACAGGAATTAGCAAGAAATTTTTGAATCGCTATTTATCATTTTTTTTCCGGAATAAAGACACATTTTACATTATATGTTAAAAATAAATGCATTAATTTTCAAGCATCAGAATTTGCATAGGCAGTAGAGCTTTATTTTACGTGGTATTTGATATGGTCGTTAATATTTTGCTATATATTGCTGACGATGAACCTTGGTGAAAAAGTTTCTAATTAACAAAAAAAAATTATCGAATAGATTTCCACTGTATACGTGATTCACGTTTTCTTGACTTAATACACAATTAATCTCCCAAACTATAACTTCCAATATTAACAAATAATTTCCTACATACATTTTGCTAATATAGAAAATAACTCTTCACGTAGTAACCAACTGGGCGCAAGTTTAACATGGAAATAAGGAAGCCAGCATAATTTAACAATCATTTCACTGCAAGAGAGTTTCTGAAATTTATTTTTATATTAAATCAGTTATGATTTTAAAATATCCGCCCTTTGTACACAAATATTAATGTTTCACGAATCAGTCAATTTTTTTGCTTATAGTTAATATCTTTTGCCCGCACCAAAAAATTGATATTTCATCAAAATTTCACTTTAAATTCTATGAAATTTTCAATCGACATCCTTGTAAAATTGGGACTAGCGGATAATCATCACATGAAAAAAATGCTGACAAGTAAATGACCAGGCTTCCCACTGTTCTCAAACTCAACAAATGTTTTTAGTTTGGATAGTGAAAATTAATAGATTTCTTACGTTTCATGGCCGTTATAATTAGCCAATGATAATTGAAACAAATTCAACTCAAATTGCAGAACGAAGATTCCAGTGCCTCGTTTCACACCATTGAATGCCATGTTTGAAGACCTGAAAATGGTTAGTTCAACAACACTATTTGATCCAAAAGAAATTTCCAGCACCCAGTAAATGTCAGTAACAGTATAATGCCAATTATATTATATGAAACATCCGATTAGCACAGAAATATAAAACAAATTGTCAAATGAAGTTTTTTGCAGGTTATTATTTGCTTCTTCTTATCGTAATTTTGTGCGATAATGTTTTTGAAGATAACTAAAACTAAATTACAAAGAAATTATCGTTCATCTCTTCTCACCAAGAGATCATTAAAATAAAGTTATTAATTAATAATGCTCCAAAATTATCCAGATTTGTTTCCTTAATTACTGAAAAATTATTTTCACTCTGGCATTTCAGTTTACAATAACTATTAAACTGTACCTAATCTACGTACTAGGCTGCAATATTGTACATGATTGTTCTGTTAGCAATTTCTTTTGTTCTCGTTTGAAAAGTCGTCGAGAACAAATGATCTTCATGTTGGCTACGAACAAAGTAACCAAACGCAAGAACAAAACCAGTTCCCTTTCACTTAAGTCACAAATATTAAATAAACTATTGGATAAATTCAACAACAATCAACAGGTTCAAGTTGACATAGGTACACAAAAACAGTGTTAACCTTTTCGTAAAAAGGATGAAAATATAACGTGATGAATTCTCGACACAAATATTATGTTTTGAATGAAAAGCAACATGAACGAAAGAGACCCACATGTTTACTATTACAACATACAACTTCCATGTGAGTCTCATTCGGGCCTCTTGCATGTGAGTGTCGGATAATTGACTATCAAAGATCAATGACAGCGTTCAATTACTGAACTAGTTAAGGTGACCAACGATAGACATCTTTACAGTTCTAGGCACTACTTCTATACATCACTAAATACTGAGGATCTAATTTTAGTCAAACCCTTCACAATCAGAAGACGTGCAGCTCTGGTGTGTGTTAATTTTCGAAGTAATAATTTTATACAAAATTCCTATCTGAATTCTGTTGTTCTCAACGCAATAAGTAACTGTGTTATTATTGAAAATTTGCCTTTATATATTGCAGCTACTTTTTCCCTCCAACCCTTTATGCTCAAACGGCAGATAAGATTTTATTATTTTAACCAGATAAAAAAGTGGTTATTATTAAGGATTAGTTTTTAAATGCAGTCTGCAATGGCCTACTCATAAATAAAAAATTATTTGTTTTATTTATTCACTCATATGAACCTCGAATTTCCTCGTATATGCAAAAAGCATAACAATAAAATTCATAAATCAATTCCATGATACATTGTAATAATAACATAATCATTCAGTTCATTAGTATTAGATGGCAAATATCCATGTTTTTTTTATTTATAAATTACATTAAGAAGCATCGTCTCCTGATTGTTACAAGGGGCTGAAGCGCAGCACCAATAGCTACGTATCCAACGTTATCACAAAAACCTTTTGCTCCTTTACATTTTGTGATTCAAGAGCTACGGTATTTTACGTACAACACGCAACACAAACGATACGACCAGCCCAAACAAAACATCGGGCCACGCAACATTTCATGAACAGATCACACGACAGATCACGCTACCTTTGCACTCAACTTCGGATGATTTTGAGTACATTTGGCAAGCCTTTACCTTAAAGACACCAGGGGCCATACTTTCAAAACTCGCTAAGTGAACGTAAGTTCTAACGCTCCAATTTCTTGTCTATGATTGGTGGATTTTGCTTGAGTGGCTGTCAATGATTGGCTGATGGACTTACGATCTCTTAACTTTTTTTGGAAGTATGGGCCCAGTAAACATCCTACGAGCGTTTCGAAAGATCCCGTCAGATACTTTTGCTATCATCAGCGGTATCCGCGGCTGGCAAAAAAATTAACGGAATTTAATTTGGAAAGCAACGAGGAAAAAATACGCAATGAACGTTCGGTGAAATAATACAACCGGTATGGGAAATCGATATTTTCAAATGCAAGTTGTCGAGCAATTGCGAAAAATTAATTTTTGAAATAAATAAAAATGCTCATGCTTCAATAATCGAAATAATTTATTTGTTTTGAAATAGTATTAACGCTACGAGGAAAGCCATGTACATAACTACGGCACTTATATTACAAACTACATATGCTACGAGCACGAGCACTGCACAACGGTCATACCTACGGACAAGTTGAACAGTCCCTCTCTGGCTCAAGCTCACGCCTCACTCTTGCATACACAAATAAGCGGCTCCAAAGAACCGAGATTAGAAGAAGAAATCTCTTAGGTTCAGTGAACTCTATCGGATTTAAATTTTAACGTGGCTCAAAATATAGACAACAGTACATATAAATTCATTTATGATGAATTTCATATCGCTTCTTATGAAATTGATATTCATAATTGATTCAGGTCGATTTCACAGAGTTAAATCAACAAATATTCAGATTTCTTTGGAACCGTCATCTTTGTATATATCGCTTCTTATGAAATTGATCTTCATAATTGATGCAGGTGAATTTCACAGAGTTAATTCAACAAATATTCAGATTTCTTTGGAACCGTCATCTTAGTGTGCAGCAAAAGATAATCAATCAGCTGAGTCTGCCGTTCTTTACATGATGCTCCGTGACAACGTCTACACACGACAATCGCTAACACATACTTACTCTAACGCTGTAACCCTTAATCATGGCGGGGAAGGGCATACGGGTACGTTATGAAAATATTTTAATTTATTCCAACAGTACAAAAGATTTGCCTTATCATCTATTATATGTAACGAAAGCGCACATTTAAATTAAATAATCATGTCCCCCACGCATCGGATGAGTTGAAAGCAATCAAACAAAAGTTACTGTAATTTAGAATACTGAATTTTACACGACTTTTTTATAAAAACAGCAAAAAGAGACTAATTGATATAAATATTTTAGCCTGAACATAATTTCGTAAATTCTTCAAACAAATTATTTTCCCACATTTCCCTTCTATGATCTGTAGAACATACAAGTATTCCCGTCTTAGTGTACAGTATATGTGATACGATGCTTGCACTACTACGTACGACTCCTACGCATGGGCGGCTGTCTGAACTGTAATATTTTCAAAATTTCAACCTCTGTATGAGATATAGCCGGAATACTGTTCAGTAGGACGACATGAAAATAGTAGTATTTGTTATGAGAGTCAAGAAAAACGAGGACAAAACCCAGCACAAAAGCGATTGAATGCGGGAAAAGGTCTTCATTTATGAATATGCGTCAAAATTCATGGAAATTTAGCATTGTACGCATAATCCGATTGGAAAGGACACGGAAGACGTAAAAAATCAGTTTATAGAATTCCTCGCAATGCGAGGGTACAATAGACACGGACTTCCAATCATAATAATGACATCATATTGCATAGAAACTGAGACAACCGCTAGTCGGGTAACGGATATGTTCCGTGACCCGTGAACTCATCACTGAGTAAACACTGGAAGCGATAATTCAAAATGTAAAAGATTTCTAGTACCTTGCCGAACATTGAATGACGAAACCTATAAATTATATACTCAAGCTCCAAAGCATGAGCTTTTAAACAACATGCCAAACAAAGATGAATGAAGCCTACAAATTATAATTGTATTCGGTGGCGTTTATTGAGGCAACACGCTGTAGTCAGAAGCGTCGAGGTCAGGGTGCTGAACAGCGTCAGCACGCCCAGAGTTGCTGCTCGTCTGCCGTCCTGCAGCTGCAGATTGGAGCGCTGTGCTCCAGAGGCCGCGCTTGCAGCGAGCGTCTCGCATGTTCCTATTGGAAAGCGGAGGAAATGCGAATGAAAAAAGTTAATGTGTCTCGCAAGCCCTTGTTGGAACGACGGAGAGTCGGAGAATATCAAAATGTATTGTGTGTCACAATTTCCTTAGGGTAGGCAGGAGAAAATGGACTTATAAAGATGTTTGTCTCACAAGCCTTAGTTGTCAAGCAGGATGAAATGCAGATGCAAAAGATGTAGCGTGTCTCACAAGACAATGTTTTGACGGATAAGAAAACACGCTTGAGGAAGATTTCACAAGCCGCAGTTGGAAAAGGAAAAATAAGTAGTGGAATGCTGTAATGTCTTCTACTAGCTAATCATGTTTCAACTGAAAAAATATATTACTCAGTATGAGTAAGATATAGCTAGTCATACTAATTATTGGTCCCAGGTGAATGACAATTTTCTGTCAAATAATCCTCGAACTAATCTTCCGCTCACTACTGCTGGTGATGTTGATCGAAGTCTTTGGTGCTGTTGCCTACTCCCAATTACCAATATCGGCTGCAGTAGCCCGTGGAAGAAGCGATGGTCATGGCTCCGCCTGCGGCGTCCTCGGGCCCGTGGCTCTCGAGCACGAGGCAGAGGCGGCGGGCACCGGTGCTGGCCCGCGATGTCGGCGTCACCACCAGGAATTGGCGGCCTCCGGGCTCCTGCCACCAGCCGTGGCACGAGTATACTGAGGAGCAAAAGTATTTATTTTTATTATTTAGTTTACCGTGACGGGCATAATTACATTAATGATGTGAATATTTATGTTGTATTACATTTTCTAATTAATTGCGGATTGTTCAGTAAAATGAGTCACTCGCCATCGCACACGTAACTCATTTTTACGAGTGAATAATTTTTAGTAGTATGAATATAATTAATGAATCTTGATACCGTAAACTGAGATTTCACGTGTTCATTTAAGAGCGCACTTCAAAGAAATAATTTGTGAAGCTGGAAAACAAAATTAAACCCTGACCATAAAAACAAATTTAACCAATGTTATTTAGATCAAAGCAAGGCAAAATTTCCTAGTTTTCGTTGGTAAATGCTCAATTATATGACGACAAGAAGGATTGGAATAAGAAATAAATCTTTTGACCGTAAATTCTATAAGGAACAATTAATGAAAAAATATATTTAACAAAAATATAATGCAAAGCAATCCATTACGAGACTTAGAAATGTATGCAGTGAATAATCCAACTATGATGGTATCGTAAGTCCAGAAATCAACCTGATACAAATGAATGAAGCCCTTGTAATAAAATTTCTTTTTGTTCGAAAAACCAAATAAGCTATAATAATAATCTTCAGATAATTCTAATAATATTTTTTATTCAGAGACTGCTTAAAATGCTTGTAAAGAGCAAATGCATACACTAATCATATCAATGATTTCATTAAGACTTACACGGAATCTGAATTAGAACAGCGAAAATTTTCTGTTTTCTATAACACAAACTGAAATATCACGGAACCGCAATGTCTAGCTAGCAGTTCAGGGCCTGATTTGAGTTGAATCTCATGCTTTTGGAACATAAGCTTTCAAAATTCTCTATAATTCTGAAATCAATCAAAGTCTTGAGTCAACACGAACAACTCGATCTGCAGTGTTTGCTTGAACGTTCAAGCAAACGCTTGGGAGGCTACCGCCGTTCGCAAGGATAGTTTATTCGAGTCCGACGAAAACGTTTTCCGAGCGAGCGTTCCTGCCGATTGCTACGCGCTTCGGTGAACGCTGTCGAGATTGCCGTGGCCTGTGTTTGTGCAGGGTCCTTTTATTGGTTCACCGAAAGCTGCCATTAATCGCTCCACTGATCACTCCCGAAAGGAGCGAGATGCTTTCTAAGCCGCTCCTTTGGTCATAGACAACGACTTCAGACCGCCGACAAGCATTCATCATTTCGTTCATTTAATTTCATCGATCAACCAAAGAAAGGGAAGAGGCTTTCTATTAACAGATCAATTTTTCATCAACAACATTAGCTTCTTCTCGCCAGCCATCATAAATCATTTAATTTCTAATTTTAAAATACAGATGATATTTCTGTTCAACCTCGTCATGTAATTTCAAGCAGTATTAAAATATCCGTCTCATTTGTATGTTGGGTCACAGATTTTGCGTAATATTCACTTTAATATATCATTGCTTTGGCATTGAAGGCAACAAAACAATTGATATACTTGGCTAGAAGAAATGGCTAACCAATAATCACGCAAATAACCAAATGAATATCAATATAATAACATGAAGCAGTGACATATGCATTACTTACCGTAAAAATCACCGTCATTGGAGTTCGGTTAATGTTAAAATTATTTTAAAACCCACCATTATTAAAGCAACTTGTATAAAAAACAAGCTGTAGTTAGTCTAATTCACACCATAAATGGATCAAAAAGAAGCAAGGAACCCATGCATTGTAATTTGGAAGTTCACCACAATTGGATCATGAGTGAAAACAGATATAACTATCCTAATTCTAATGAATAATTAGAATAATTATCCTAATTCTCATCATTATTATCATTAATCTGACCAGCATTGGAGCATGAGGTGTGCATCTCTAGCGTGTCGGAGGCCGAGCAGCCGACGGTGAGCGCCGTGTATGGCGCCTCACAGCCGTCGCGGGAAGGCGCGCTCAGAGCCGTGCCACTGCCGCCTCCCGTGCTCGCCTGCGGCGCCGATGCCGAGGCGGGCGATGCGGCGTGGCTGCTCGACGCCGCGGCTCGGGCCGTGCCCATGTCCGCCACCACCTCGTATCGGCCCATGCTCGGGCAGCTGCGGCTCTCCGCGTTACTACCTGCAAGAGAAAGATACATCCTTTGTTCGACAGTGTCATGTATCTTCTGTCAAGCGAGTATCTTCTATGAAGATACTTGAATTCCGTTATACCCATTATTAGTCTTATGAATTGTATAGTTATAAGAAAACATGGGTTTTCTTTCTGTTATAATTAAGCAAAGTTAATAAAATTACAAGTATTGCAGTTCTTCGTGTGGCTAATATTCTGTCTTGAAATGCGATGATTTGTGAGATCCTTTTCAATATAAAACTCAATAAAAACCGTTTCAATTTCAATATATGGACCTTTCAATATTGAATCTTGTCTTCAAAAATTGCTTGTGAGTTCGTACTGGTTCTTCCACGAACCCTCCGTGATATTTTCTAGTTTTCTATGTGATATATGCAACGATTCATTAAAGAATGTCGAGTCAATATGCGAAATATAATTCTTATTTGTTTCAATTTATTTGAAAGCAGTGACATGCGTTCGCGTATTATTCTTTACGAACAGAAATACGGCAATATTGGATGCGTTTCATTCCAAAAATCTACGGCTTCTTACTGATGAAAGTCGAGTAATTGGTCGAGGAGGCATCGAAGAAGTGATGGCTGCAGGCTTCTTCGGCGACTGAAGCCACTTTGCCTGAACGATTAGAAACCAATTATAGGATATCACGAACCTGAAGATAACGTGTAACTAAATATTAAAATATTACGCAGTGAAAACTAAAACCGCTAATTTAAACAGAGAACAAGAAGTTGATGAACTTTCACATCGAGTTTTCACGATTAAAAATCGATAAACTTGAGATATCATCAAACAACCAAACTAGATTTTAAGCAAATCTCGAACACATAGGAAAATGTTCCTATTTTTAAAAGAAGTTTCAGTTTGGAACAAAAAAATACTCTCTGTCTCAGTGCCTTTTGTCTCTGTTCATAAATTCTCTCAGCAAAAAGAATTTTTTTTGTTCGGAATTGATCATTAGGTCACAATTCACTATCATAAATCTGCACGTCTAACGCAAGTTTCAAACTAGGAAACATAATTTATTTAAAACACATCCTCGAATTAATGCTTCAACAAATCGTGAAACAAACACATTATACAGGGTGATTCGCAAAAACGTCCTGTTTTGTATTTCGCGCCAAGAAGCTAAATATTGTAGAAAAAGGACAAGGTCATGAGGTTTTTTATGACCTGTTTTTTAACGAACTTGCCACGTCTTCCATGATCTTATGACCTTACTATTTTTTCATGACCTTGCAAGTGATGAAGTTTCATATGAAAGGCAAGGTCCTGAAGTTTTATGTCCCGCCTAGTCAGTGGCCACGATGCATTGGACAAGTGAGCAGCGTGCGTTTACTGTCGAGGCGTACTTCTGAAACAACATTTTGCAAAGCGCCTCATCTCTCTGAGAGGTGACCTCCATTGACCGGCCAGATCTCCCGATTTGGCTCCGTGTGATTTTTTAATGGGGTTATCTCAAATCAATTCAATCAATGACTGCCCAAAGACACTATTCCTCACTTGAAGAACAACATACGCCAAGCCATAGCCAATATGCCCGTCAATTTGCTTCAGCGAGTTGAACGGAATTTCAAAAATCGACTAATAGAATGCATTGACAATGGCGGCCATCGTTTTTAAAACTAAGGGATACAAAAAATAAGGTAATGAATTTTTCCATAAAATGTATATTGTAAAGATATCTTTACTAGGCCTTTCTTTATTGAGACTTCACATCAGGAAATTTCCGTGAATCACCCTGTATCATGCAACGACTCATCATAAGATTCAAAGAAAATTGCAATGGTAATATACCTAAACGTGGCAACTTAATATTACCTATGTTTAATATATATTAGTTTTTTAGTTAATATTAAAAAATAAATTTTCCGCGCACTTTCCATTCGTATACTAAGTGCTTAAAAGTATATAGTATCACTTTTGATTTGCTTGATATTTGTATGGACACATTGGTTTAATGTAGATTACTCACCCATTAATATTTCCAGGACTTGATGGTCACGCTCTACCAGTTTAATGCATTTGAAACCACTTGTGCTGCAAGAAAAAGAAAGACATTTTAAGTGCCGTGCTTCGGAAATAAAAAGTTCATTTATTTCTAAGTTAATACTTGGAAATTCAATGCCTGAAGCTCGTGTCGTGCGATGCTTGCAGTATGATTAGCGAAATTCATGATGCAGTTGCATTATTACCCAGAATTATACCTCAATCATTAGCTAAATGATCTGGGTCATTTATTATTACGGCGTTAGCTGGTCTCAACAAATACTAGACGATTTATCACAGACCGGAATTAGTTCCTATATTTATACCATGGTCTGAAATTACTCGTTGCCAATTACTTGCGATTGCAGTTCCAACATAAATAACTTCATTAAGCCACGCACGCGAAAGAGGCAACTAAGGGAACAGTTTATTATTAGAATGCAGAACAGAATAAAGATTAGCGGCTAAATACATGCGACAGTGGGGCATTCACTGCTCAGCAACGGATAGCTTTGACATGTTTACAGAGGGTGAATCGCCGGCTCACTGCGATGCGCATTAACTCGACAACAGGACTCAAGGAATCGATGGGAATGGCTGCAGTAAGTCGTATCCTGGAATGCGTTCTGCTGCTCCCCTCGACTTCTGCGCCAATACAATAGAGGGGAGCAAGAAGCTAGATGCACTTCCACAAAATGAGACTGTTTCCACCTCCTATAAATCTCTGGCGATTTGTGTAATTCCACGAGAAAAATTGATCACCTGGAGCTTATTTCGAGATCTTTGAGGATTTTCATAATTATTTTTTTTTGTTTAGTTGCAGCTCAATTTGCGAAATTAATGACGAATAGATTTTTTCCGAATCAACACAAGCATTTAACTCTACCACTTGATACTCTATCTTATATCAAGTGAAATTCTCCTTTGCGCTAACTATATCGTTTACAATAATTGTTTTTAATGAGGACAAAAGACACCATTCATAAATAAACTCCTCTTACTAGTTTTCCACACGTTCGAAGAACTCCTATTTTGTCTCCATCAAGTTGGAAAAAGATCACATCTTCGTGATACAATAATCACAATCAAACAGTAAGGCTTCCGAAATTCTTTACATTTCTGATTTTTTTTTCGACACCTCTCAATCATTATAATTAAAGTTTATATTTTAGTGAACAAGTAAATCAGACAGAAAAAACAGTAGCTCTAGAGGAAATTAGTGTTGCCCTGTGGCGAGTGAAGGGCCCCTGCACACAAACTCTATCCGATGGAGACGTAGCCGCTATTCAATTGGTCCGAATGTCAGTTGGATTTCAGTTTATGGCCGTAATAAAGCAAGTCTAATGTACGGGGAAAGCACGGAAGGCGAGGAAAGTCCGAAACTTTGGTCGAAACCACTAGAGATTTTTTTCCGAACTGTGTTGTTCATTCTGTATTAGCCTTTGAACTTTACGATCGGTGTAGTTTGTCTGACTTACGCGAAGAGAAATAAGCGAATAAACGTAAGATGTGAACGGGACTGAATAAGACCATACAATGGTATAGCTAACTTAAATGCATGATTCTTGCCAAAAGCTTACTAAATGTAGCGAACTTAAATGTATGATTCTTGCCAAAATAGGAAAAAATTGGCAATGGGTAGACAGAGCTTTCATCATAGGATTTGATCGCTAATAATGGTTTTGAATAATTTTTCAGAGTGCACTCCCATTTGCATTTGGCGCAACTTTTGGTGCTTAGATTATATGCGATAGCATTTAATCATTTAATGAATGAATCTATGTGCTGCCTTCATGCATGTTGCAATCTCAATTTGAACATGGACGTTCTCTGCATAGAAAAGCATGAGGCCTCTAAATGCTAGGAGTGGCCTCTGAGGTCTGGCCAAGTGAACAGCGATTTAGGTGAGGCAGGACTCGGAGTTTTATGGACTTGTGGCGGTAAGGCAAGAGGAAGTGAAGTGTTTTCACGGCAATACGCCCCACTTTACGAGCAATTCTTGAGAAATGCCTCAATTTTATGAGTTTCGATTCCAAGAAGTAAAAAAATTCTCTGTAATGAGACACTTCCATAAATGATAGCGCCTTCATGTGATAAGTGAAAATACGGGAAAATTGTGCCTATTTAAAATCTGGGCGCACTGAAAATTTTCAGTGCGCCTAGTGAAAATTTCTCGGAATTTTAGCTCTATTACTCAATGTGAGTATTGATGCATTTTCACTATCGTAGTAAATTGTAATTTGTCTATAACCTTTACAGATTGTTAGAAATTATCAGGATTGCTTGATATTAGGACTTGCATCAAGTGATTTAATTACAGTAATTATCATCAATCAAGCAGAAGAAACAATGAAAGTGCTTATAACTAACTTTGTTTAAACTTTAAATGATTTTAATATATTAATTTCTAGGCCAACATGCAGGTACGTTAATATATATTTTATTACGGTTCTGGCAGCTTTTAGACATTGATCCAGGCAATAATTAAGAATCGAATAATTTTCTATTCTTTTCCTACTAACAGCAAACATTTTCTAGCAATAATAATGCCAGGAACATTCGACACGCACAGAGAAATACTCGCGTGCCAGCCGATGAAGCTAGCGTGTCAAGTTTAAAGGCCGATGATATTGACGAAACAATTTTCTTATCATCCGCAAACTGATGCCCTAATACCGTACTGAACGTTTTATTTCGGTCACGCCACGGCTCATGCTTATTACTAAAAACGTAATGTCACTTTGCGAGTGAATGAAACCGTATAACTTCACCAAATTCATATTTGCTTTGCGTTAATTCCAAAACTTTTCCAACCGAACAGCGTCAGTTTCTATTTCATATTAATCATACCGTTTTCTATTCGCTGTCAAAAAATTGAATGAAATATAATACTAGTCAGCGTTATTCATTCATGACACTCCTCGCAACGCCTGAAAAATTATCCAAATTGCAGATAACCTAGTACCTCGAGACTTGATGACGACTAATTAAAAATTTTTGACTTAAAGTAAAGTGAAGAAAATTTTCAGACGAACTTCGCGTCAAATGTAGGGGAGAGAGTACTGCGTCGCGCTGCATTTAGAGACCGAGCTACTTTTTTCACGCGATGCTCATCAATCTTCGGTAGGAGATAGCTTTTTCTGACGCACCTCCCAATGGTTCCTCATCATTCATAATTTAGGGAGTGAAATAAATAAACTGTTTTAAAACTTTCATATTCGCAAAGAAAATTAGAACTGAAATTTAGTAAATGAAGGGATTTGCAAAAACTGCGGGATTCATAAAAGGAAAAATGATCAAGGCAACAAATACATGTAAAAATAATGTGTTTGATTAAGATGTTGGTTTAACACAGCCTAAAAAACGTGAATTATAAATTGGATAGAGCCACTTTTATGCAAGCCATAATTATTTGATTAATGGAAATATAATTGCCATTCTGTCAGCTTCATAGGAAGGTTTCAAAGATATCTTTAATCTTAACTCTTGCTCGGATTAAAATCACTTAAATGAAATCATCTTTTTTCAAAACAAAAAACTATCACAGTCTCACAAGGATTAGGGTCTTGGAATCTGTAGTTACTGATTTAGGACCAACTATGACCAATCTAATAATATGGAATTTATAACTTCCAAGAGCCGTACTACTAAAACTAATTTGAGTACACGTAGCGGCTGCATGATATCTTTTCAGTGATTTAGCTAGGAAAATTTATTGGGCTTTACAATCTCTTTACGGAAGACATTACGAATTATAACCACATGTATATTTTTATATTACGGCCCTTCTTCAAAAAGTAACTTGCCATTGATTGCTTTAACATAGTGAGTAGTCACTCACCAGCCATGGAAGACTCTGGTGACAAAATATCCGAGTTTTTCCTCCATATGTTTTGATGACGAAACCGACGCGGCTGAAACCTCAAATTCGTCTTGCTGTGACGACGAGCTTCGGGAAGCTGTTCGGTAGTAGGAAGAATCACCGTGACGATGGTAAGACGAAGTTTCCGGAAGACTCTGCTCAAATATTGAGGCATATTAAATATCTTATTTGGGAAACAGTGTTAACATAGATTTGTATACAAACAATGCATGGAACTCTAAATTTATTTCGAAATTATGATAGATGCAGATTATTCACGGAATGAAAATGTCCATAAGTTTTCTTTAATGTAATGTTTCAATCTAAAAGCTGATTTTCTTCTAGAAACTCTTTGAACTGCCCTCGCTTTCCCTCTAATCTGAAAACTTCTCCCATCATTCGATTGAAAGTTTGAATCGAAAAAAGAACTTTAAGGACAATCCCCTTGAAGAAACACTATTTATATGACAAAATATGATGCTAAAACATGTCTGAATAAATTATTTTCGGCTCTACAAGCCTGTATTTTGGATAAAAGTATAACAGAACGTTCCCCAGCTCTTTTTAAGGTAGCGAACTGAAAATCAGAGAAAATAATCTACGGAAATCAAAACAAATATTTAACTTAAAGCTCGTACTTAGGCAATTTACACTGCAGGTGTTTTTTTAAGTCAATTATATAACTAATCAATAAATAAAATTAATCTCATTCAATTTTAATTGAATGACAATACAATTTTAATTGAAAGTGAATACAATTTTAATTGAATGAGAATACAATTTTAATTGAATGAGAATACAATTTTAATTGAATACGCATAACCTACGGCGTAATTAGAACCAACCTTGATGGTGTGGAAGCAGGTGTAGGTGATAGGGCCAGATTCACCGTGAGTTGAGTAACGCAAGGTTGTGTTGTGGCGAGTGACGTGGAGACGGCCTTTGCCATCCAGTGAATGCCATTCACTGTGACGTAGAGGGAAGTGGCATCGAGAACCCCGCGTCTCCACTAATGAGAAATTAAATTCTTTGCTTATGTTTATATCAAGATATCTTAAGAGGGATTATCTTATAACCAATCAAATGGAATGATATTATTATTAGTAAATTGATTGCAAAATCGAGTTGGAAAATGCTTATTTTTTAGCTTCTACCGTCTATATAACTATTTTTCCACTAAAAAATCAAGAAAATTATACAAAAGAAATATTAAAATGTTTATATAATAAACTAAAAAGGAGAGAGTATGGGACAAATACCGTCATACCGTTTTCTATTCGCTGTCAAAAAATTGAATGAAATATAATAAAAGTCATCATTATTCATTAATGACAATCCTCGCAACGCCTGAAAATTATCCACATTACAGATTTCGAAATTATGGGCGCATCAGCGGAAGGCGGCGCATCAGCGTGACCTTGGACTACGACGTCCTAAACTCATCATAAGGTCATAAGGTCACAGATAACCTAGTACCTCGAGACTTTATGATAAGTAATTACAAATTTTTAGGCGAAATTGAATAGTGATATTGACCTTTATTGAGGCGGAGAGTGCTAGCTCCGCCAGTCAGGGAGAAAAGGCCGTGGCAGCTCGCGTCTCCACTCTTGGCCATTTTAAAGCCGTTGCCTGAGCCAGCGTACGCGTAGCACCGATACCTGAAATACGCTCGTTTAATACCAACTTAATTAATTAATCACTTAACAGAACAGGAAGTCTGTTAATAATTGTAACTTAATTAGTAAATGTATTGTAGGTATGTTAATAATTGTACCTTATTCAGTTAATGAATTATAAGGCTATTAATAATTGTAACTTAATTAGTAAATGTCTTGTAAGTCTCTTAATGATTGTAACTTAATTAGTTAATCTAATGTGTGTCTGTTAATAATTGTTTGTGTTTGTAATAAATTGCCTGCATGGCATTTCACAGATTGAGGCTACTTGAGAGCGTCAACGCTCAACTCAAAGTTTCAGGATATAACCTAACACAATAAATTTTATTCTTGGGGAATCGCGATGCAATAGAAAACAATAGAAAGTGGTATTTGCATTTTTTTAATTACCTAATCGATCTGATTATACATTTAATTTTTGTTCAAAAACTATAGAAATCTCACTTTCTCCAAGCTTCGAAACGGGAATTAACCGCTATTCTCGTGTGTACTATATTGGTGCGAAAGTGTCTCTCGCTTATTAACATAACTTCAGTTAGGAGATTTGAAAAGGGATTGGTTATGACAAGATTCAATTCAATGGTATCCGAGGTACCGGGATTAATAATCTCAAGGATTATCGAATACGGACAAAATGGCTTCAGAAATCCGCCCATTAAAGAATTCCATGAAAAAGAGGAAAAAACTAAAATTTAAGGTTATTTTAAAATTTGATAAAAATTTCAAAGGAGTTGAAATTTCATCAAAAAGACGATTTTAGTATACGTATGATTTAAACTCTACGAAACTAAATTGATGATAATCACCGGCAGTGTTATTATTTATATGAGCAATGCGAGACAATCTACTGGAAAGATGAAATAATTTTGAGAGCAATGAAAATACTAAATTAATGATCTGCAAATATCGAACAATAATTTACGCAAGACAGAAATGTACCAAATGAAAAGGCAATAGTAACAGGGAGAACAAAATTTAATTTTATATATGCATTACGTTTTCAAGTTATCTACCTGATGATAGAATTCAATGTATATAGAACTGAACAGAAATATTGCGTATAATAAGCTAATGAAGATAATTAAAATGGTTGTGTTAATTTCTTTAGCACATTAGATAATATCAAGAACGAAGGGACGATTGAAAAAATTTAAACATTTCAATATTTTTATTCAATGTTTTACCCCATTTTAAGTACTTTTAATTTTGGTTCAAGTACCTAATGTACAAAGAGCACACGAAGCCTACGGAGCCGAACCAACGTAATTAGTGTCAACAAGTGACGGCGTGAGCCACGCTAGAAAATAAATGGCCTAAATTGTCCAGAATTAAACTACACATGACAGAGCAGCGCGAGGTGGGAACCTACTTATACCTCATACTATTTATCATGTGATTATAATGCAAAACTTCAGCAGAAAATGGACACAAAGACCGTTAAAGTAGTAAAGGATAAACATAATAACGCCGTAGATACGTACGAGGAAGCAACTTTCGATGTTACTGCTGGAAGACTACCTCTTTATCACTGTATCTCAAGCGGTCGGGCAAGGGTTTCAGTTGAAATAACACACCGGGTTCACTATACATCCAGTAAAAAAGATCTGTACAATTGCGTTATGTCCCTGTAGTTCTCACCAGCGAGCAACTAAAACATGAATGAATAAAATCCTGAAAGTATTTAAAACCTAAATTGCGGAAGTGAAAAGTCTAAATGAAAATGAAATAAATGTTGCTATAAAATATGAATAAATTTATAATATTCCCTAACATTACAGAATTGCGACTATTAACATTAACGCAGTGTAACTAACATTGCACTGCGATCACCATCTAATAAATAATAATACTAACTGAGCACTGTGGCCAATATTCAGGCATATAATGAATTTAAATTGTTTAGATTATTAATTATTATATGATGTTTATAGGAGCAGGTAACATCTTGTATTTTCACGTGCTGTATTAATATGTTCTGTTAAATTATGACCAATGTCGTTTTAATTAGATCCGTAATCAGAATTCTGCAGAAATTTCATATTACGTTAGTTGAAAAATATAGAAAAAGTGAAAAATTGAAATTTTTTTAAATTAAGGCAATATAATAAGTCAAGATGTTCAAATTGCCGTTCTGTATTGAAATCATACGAGGCGATTCTAAAAAGGCATTTGAAATTACAAAAAGATCAAATACACAATTTATATTTTGTCTTAATTTATTATTTACTCAGTTTGAATCTACTGGAGGACTTCTAATGTTTCGCAATAAGTATTCGGTCCACTGAAATATCTGATGCTGCATAAACTCAATGTCCTACAGTCTCTTCATTTATCTTACTAACCTTCAACAGAATTATTAAGCGTCAAGAACAAGCTGCCTATTTTAAATGTTCTCTTAATGAGTATGCGAAATTAAGGCTCATTAGAACAAGTCCCGGACAAGACACTACAGCTTTCATTTACCTAACAAAAGCGGCAGCATCAGATCTCTTAATTACTCACGGACAACATCGCTTTCGGTCCAACCGCTATAGCCAGAATGTTAATTGATTAATTAACATAAATTCGAATTTAATGACCCTCATTAAATCAGTTCGAGCTAGCAGCGACATAAAACGAAATCGAATCTTCCACTGCAAAAACTAGCGCTTTGAATGCATCTATTGAAGCGGAGACCCTTGTAGTTCTATAGTGTAGATGACGCGATAGGTGGCAGGCAGCGAGCTGCTCTAGAAGCGGTCGTGTACGCTCTGCAATCCTATCAAATAATTGAAGAGATCCTATCGCAACCTCAGAGATGGCCTCTAGTTCGAGCTGCCGCATGAATAATGCACAAGAAACGCCGTCGACTGAAATATGGCGAAACTTCGGAATGTGAGAACATGTTTTTCAAGTGTGTGAACTATCAATTATTGGGAAATCCAGGAAACATGGTAGAAATTCTGTTGGGATTCTAGCTAACATGCAGTTAGGGAAACTTACTGCGGCAAATGAAGAAAATTCTGAATGGACCTAAAAGAAAAAAAAAATAAAAATAAAAGAATGGGCCTAAAATAAAAAAAAAAAAGAAATAAAAGAAGAGTTAAAGAATATGAGTGTATATGAGAAGGAGATTAGAGAATTTTACATTTGAATTGCAACTCACTTGTCAGCATCTGAGTTCACTCTTCGGTGGTCCGATATTCCGACGAGATAATGATTGCTACCCTCCTTCCACACGCCCAGGCACGTCAATTCTTCCACTGTTATCAAAATATTGTACATTAACTTTTTTGAACCCAATTCTATATCGAGCATGCGAAAAATAAGCAATTAACGTGCATGCCCGAAAAATTGTTGCCTCTGTAAATTAGTGGAAATTTCCAAATACGGCAATTTCTAATTCTTATTCCTAATTCAAAAAAATAATACACGTACTGCAAATAATCACTTCAGGCATCTAATAATAGAATAGAAGTGTCGGCCCTGAAGAAATAAGCCCATGGCCTGTTGCCTAATAAGAAGTTCAATTTCAGCATATTAATTTCAGCATATTAATTTCAGCATATTAATTTCAGCATATTAATTTCAGCATATTAATTTCAGCATATTAATTTCAGCTTATTAATTTGTACGGTACGAACCCATGCTCTCAGAGCCTCTGACATCTGGGCAGGCTTGGTATTGGAAAAGGAGTCTCCAAGACTCGGTGCAGGAATGGACCGTGGAGGGCGGGTTGGTGCACAGTCCCCCACCGTTGTTGTACTCGAATGTATACGAGTGCGGGAAGGGGCACGGTACCGGCACAGCGTCCAGTCGGAACATTGAGTTCAGCTTCGAGTCGCCCGTCAGAAGATTGCAGACGTGGTCGAGCTTGTTGCTCCATCCGCACTCCGCTAACAAGGGTAAGATAAGTGAAATACTTTTAATGATTTAATTTAAATGATGTTTTTATAACGATGCTTCAAAGTGATGTTTCAAACTATGTTTTGCTTATGCTATCAACTAATCCGTAGCATATGAATTAAAGGTACATGAAAAGTCGAAATTGTGAGAGGGTGGAAAAATTCATTTTTTGGTTAGAGAAATCAAAGGAAATTCGAATTTTTCACACCTTTGACTCCAGAAGCACTCGAGTATTTAGTTGATTATGACAAGTAAGCGTTAAGCCAAGAACTAAATACATGACAGGTGACGTAGGCAAGTGACTTGAAATTTTGACAGGATTGCACCGACGAATGTGCCTCGCCGATTTTTAGCAATGAATTATATATAAGGATATTTAAAACAATAGATATTATATGAATTTATTGATATTCATCAAATAAACTTTTGGTTATAAATATGATTTTATTGAAGCAACTCTTTTGAAGTTTTCAACTCACATTCTTTGTACTGCAGTACATTTTCGTGCTTCTGATGGATGACCAAGCAGCGATAGCAATTTTGTTCACTGTAATAGAGAAAATTATATAATATACTTGTTAACGTCAACTAACCTTTATGTAGTGAACTAAGTTTCTGATTAAAACTGAAATAATTTTTCGAAATACTGTTTGAGGAACAAAAAATTACAAGTAGATTAACTTTTTACGATTTTTAAGGCGCAAAGGCAGTCAATTGAGTATGGCTCATTGCAAAGCAGAAGTAGCATATCCGTATATTCCCATATCACCATAGTCCAACTTAGATAAATTCTCCTGCTTTTGGGAAAATTTTATGGAATTTAAACAAAACTATTAGAATTTTTCCAAAACTGTGAGTTGAAATGAATAAAAATGGAAATAAATAGAATAGGAACAGTATAAATTTACATTTGAAAGGTAGAAAACTAAAAGAGAGTTGATTTGTTTTGAAAAAAAGATTTTAGAATTTTATTCACCACTGCGAGCACAGCTTAATACGGCGTTCATTGAACAAAAGACAAAAGCTAAACACTATTCGCTTCACAAATGATACGCTGTCCATTTAAGAAGTGAGAGATAGTGAGAACTATTTCGTCCTATAAGGCTCGCTGAAAACCAAATGATATTCTGTTGAAAGACTTAGGTTAACCACGCAGAAGGCAGCTATCCTAAATCTAAAAGATTCTTTCCCGAGAATCTTGCTACTACATTTGTAGAGAGGTCCTGACCCAATACGGCCTTCTGCCCCACGAGACAAAGCTAAACAAAACGTAAATATATTGGCTGCTGAGTAACGAAATAGGGGAGCCTAGCACGTACATTTGGACAGTGACATTTGAGTTTGTTCTAAGTTTGCTCCTTGTAGCCACAGACAAGGAGAGAATCACTACAAATGAGATCCAGTGTTTGACCGGGAAATGTCTAGTTGTGTCGGACAGAGACTCTAGTAGTTCGATTAACTCTAAATGTTTTGAGATCAAAGTAAATTTGCGTATGAATAAATTAGGGTGGATATTTATCTCACCAACTATAAAAATTAGATAATTATAAATACTGTTTTAAGTCAAACTGCTGAATCTGCTTCTAGTCGTTCAAGCAATGTCTCAAAAATTTCTCATTAATGCAAGTTTTAACTAATTTCATGTTCAGAAAAGTTCCCATATCTTAGCCATTCAGAGGTAAAATTTTCATGTCATTCAGTATAAATTCGGCCGACCGGACGCTTTTAGAGCTTATGCTCACGATATCATCGGCGAGAGCCATTACTGCTATTTCTTGCATTGGCTTGACCATCACAGGCAGATTGGATGGCCGGCTTTAGTAGCGAGCTTTATTGAACATAGGAAATTACTCCAGCTGATGTTTAGCAGTGCGTCTGCTGCCTATAACATTTTTGGTTGTGTGGAGTAACGTAAATGGGAATAAACATGATCCAGCGTTCATGAAGAAAATAATATTATTTTGAACTAAAAAATCTTGATTACTATCATGAATTGAGGAGGGTTTTTTTATCACATGCTAAATTTGAAATCACTTATATGTTCTAGCATTGAGATGATAATCTTCCGTATCTTCTGGAAAATTGCAAGTCATCAAAAATATCGTATACTGCTATATAATTGTGTAAATATTCCTCTAATATGGAATCGTTGAAGTCATTTCCTGCAAGGTAAAGTAAATAAATCACCTGTAAATAATATTCCATTATAAGAAATTACTTTTGAGTTGAGTAATCATCTCTAGACTACATAGGTGGCCAAAACCTGGATATTGTCCATGTTTTGTGATTCGAAAATACAATGTGGACATTTCAGTGGACAATAATTCGAATGCAAAATAATTATAATTACACAAAACCTATAAATATTGAGGTAAAACCTACGACTGACTATTACCATAATCATTCCTTAGAATCAGGCTTTTGGAGTATAGCTAACCAATCGATGATTCAGCCGAGCAGCCCGTAGTTATCTTTACATCGGCGAGGAGGCCGATAGTGCTGCGTTCTCAACGACCTCAAAGCACGCTAATAAACACCACTTCTTCTGTAGTTACCTTTTTATCAGCACACTTTCACGAAATTCAGTGTATGTTTTGCTTCCATGCAGTTGCGGTAACTTTATTATATCCAAAAGTTCGCGTACTTTCCATTATTCATTGGAGAAAATATATATTCAATGACTTTTGACCTTAATTGTAAGTCATAATTCTTGCTAACAAATTGCTTAACGTACATCGGTAGGTATGTAAATAATTTTTTACTTTTAAGCATTTATATTCAAGTTTCAGTACTTTCCAGCTTTAAACATTTTTTAGTACCTTTAATTTTAATAGTTCTATGGTTATTTCAGGCATCTTCATTTCAGACATTCAGCTTCAAATTTGACAGATTTATACATTAGGTGAATTTTCCTCAGTATCCCTAAACGTATTCATTTAAATTTTCATTTAGAATGCAACTGAATGTCTCAGCAGCATGTATGTTCCCTCAGTAGCATGTATGTTCCCTCAGTAGCATGTATGCTCCCTCAGTAGCATGTGTACTCTCTCAGCAGCATGTATGTTCCCTCAGTAGCATGTGTGCTCTCTCAGTAGCATGTGTCCTCCCTCAGTAGCATGTGTGTTCCCTCAGTAGCATGTATGTTCCCTCAGTAGCATGAGAGCACACATAGAGAAGCAAACACTAGGCAGCTCAGAGCTACGAGTCAAGGTACGACGAAGCAGCGATAATTAGGTTCGCCCATGCTTCGAGCTTGTCAACATTTGCGCCCTCGTAGAAACGAGCACCCCGAGCCTTGTATTAGCGACTCCCTTTCGCTCAGCTCCGACTAATTTACCGAAAATTTGCTCAGAAGGAACCGAGCGGCAAATGAAACGAACCGAGACAAGAAACCGACCATGGAATGGGGCCAGTCTTGAGTAGAGAGCATCATGCAAATCGTCGGGAAGAACTGCTATTGTCAGGGAGTTTTTTTGGCAAAATGGTTGGGAATGCTAACTAGTGATCTAATTTCTTCACATGAGAGAACATACCTTGAGTTCCTTTCCAAGAAACGTTTTTATTCATTTCAATAAACTTTAATTAATTTCGAAGGATTTTGATTTTAAGAGTGACAGAAGCGAAAATATGCTTTTCTATTTTAATGAATATTCATCCTGCAGAATGAAAATCTCATTCCCTCATCACAGGAAAATAGTTTAATTTTGCGTTTATTTGGGTTAAGTTAGATGTCAAAAATAAGAATTTAATGAACTTAGTCAAGGCGATAACATGTACTATCTAAATATTCAACCGTATGGTTTACTTGGTCTTATAAAATCTGTAAATTATTTGCACAGTTAACACGTTAAAAACAGAAAACACGTTAAAATTTAACAAACAAATTTAAATCATGTAAACGTTAACTGTGCAAATTAGTGTAACTGATTTTAAAACTAAAATTACGGAATGGCTTTTCCAACAATTATTTGTTCTCCATAAAATAACAATTGTTAGCATTCTGACAAATGCCTTATTGTTGGAGGATATCTGGAGAATTATTCGCACGGCGCATGCATCCTGTCTCCTTGAAGAGAGACGACCCAGCATCGACCGAAGAGCGGCCGTTGCAAGGAGTCCCAGTGCAATTCCTCAGATTGGATGATTTGGACTCCATACATTGCTTGCAATTGGCCTAAAGTGCAGCATCGCACAAACCCCCTCGTTTCCCCTCGTGCTGGCTGCGCTAAAAAAGGTGAACGCAAGGCAAGCTTGATATACAGCAGTCATTGCGGACAGACATGGATGCAACTTCGCAAGCTGTAATATCTTCCGAAAGATAGGAAATTCTAAAGAAATTATGTAAAGATTTTATCATAATTTCTTCGTATAATAAAAAATTTCTAATATTAGATGACCTCAAAGTTTGAAAAACAAGTTGGCTGCTAGGAAAATTCCCCTATATTAATTAGCACAAGATACCACAAGAGATATTTTCACGGATTTTATTTTATTGAAGACATAAAGGGCGGATCAGTGAGTTCCAACGAGAATTTGTGCTTATTTTAATTCAAAATAAAACTGATTGAGATCGATTTTTCACCTACATTTTTCTGTTATTGCAGAGTTTAGAACTTTAGGCAAAGCTCGCACCAACGAACATGTAATAAATGCTCCTTGATATTTGGACCTGAAGTTGCTGTATTTGGCTAGAGCGTAAAATATCTTTTACACATAAAAAGTAGTCAGACATAAAAATTATTGCAATAGTTGACGAAATGGAGGCCACGCTGTACAAATCCCCAGAATATTCTCGTGAAGGCAATATGAGTTTAAACAAAATGAAATATCAGTTTGTTCGATCAACGGATGAAGGGAAAATGTTTTTTTAAGATTTAAATAGAATATTTCAGTATCAATGTCCAGTAACGAGAGCCTAAAACGTGGTTGAGACGGTGAGCCATTGCCACCCTGATGTTCACAAGCTTTATTTCAGTGACCTCAACTCGGTTGCGTGTACGAGAAGTAAGTCTGTTCTGCGAGCTAATCTCTCGCAACCGTTTCGACTGAGAAGGCGCCTTCACAAGCTGGACTTTGTTTGCCCAGAAAATGTATGGAAGGCTTCGAGTGAAAAGCTAACATGGAGGCGGTGCTGCTCTCTAGAAAACTTATTTGAGGAGCGGTTTCGGAAGCCCGCAATGCGCTAACCGACCTTTGCTGGCTCGGGTTAGAAATGATAACCGACTTTTGCTGGCTCGTTTTAGAAATGTGGCAGCTGACGTCTGGTGGATTTGGCCGTGTGATCATCCAGTAGAGTGAAACTAAGAATGCATTTATATGATTCATTGTTTTTTGTAAACTTTAATAACGTAAAAGCAATGATTGTGGATTCTCGCTCAAGCTGTTAAATTATACGACTTAAATTTGTTATAAATAAATAAATAAATATATAAGATAAGATATAAATTTGTTTATTGTACTAGCGGTTGTTTTCAAACCTCATTTCAGTTACAAAGTTTGGAATGAGAATACTTTGTAACGCTAAATTTTTCGTTAATGAACTGACCAAGTCATATTCTACGACCAATTCAAAGTTTCAGATATTTCCTAATTGATTAGAACATTAAACATATTCTCAGTTATACGTCAGTATAGGAAATTATAACGAAATAATTTTCTGGATGACTGCGAAGAAACCATGTCGAAGCATTAACATGACTCCAATTGTGACGGCTAGTGCCATAATGACAGTTATGGTTAACGAGGCAGTGCATTTCAACGCACGCATGATTTTACGGCACGCTTACCCGAAACGAGTTCACCGACCCATGAAGTGCAAATCAATCGAAACGGCGTACACTTTACGCATGGTTTGAGAGAGCTGGAACATCATACAGAAATATAACAGTGATGGTATATCGCTCCAACGAAGTTGGTGTGTGTTGATATGTTACGTTTTTAGATGAAATGTGGCGTAACTAGCCATTGGGAACTGGGGCCGAGCAAAATTGGGGTTCAGTACCGCCCGGATGAGGTCATTAATTCAGGTCGTGTTGACAGAAGTGAAGGCTCTCAGCAAGTGAAATGAACTGCGACTGAAAGCTTTGCGGTTCGTTTGCCAATTGTTGAAGGCAAATACAGGCCCGTTTCACTAAATGAACTGTGACTGAAAGCTTTGCGGTTCGTTTGCCAATTGTTGAAGGCAAATACAGGCCCGTTTCACTATAAGGGAGTAGCAAAAAAACCCTGATCGTGGTTCAAAACAGGTTTTATACTGTCAGAATAAATGATTGTCATAAATCTCAGGTCATTGTGATTTACAAAGGACAACAAATAGTGCCACGAAAATCTTTCGCATTGAATAATTGCTAAAAAATGGATTTTGTAAGTGAACATTTTAAGTATCTCGCGAGAGTTATATTAATGCCCTTCTAGTCACAAATGTTGCGGCATAACTTTTGAAATTATTTGAGGGGAATCCCAAATGAAATATTTCAAAACTACTGAAAGATAAAGTAAGACTCGGGCTAATAAGATTCACTGCACAGAAAACCAGTTTTTAAAACCCTATAAGGTTGGAATATTTAGGCCATTCATTAACCGATCAAAAACAATAACTTTAGACATCCTCCCCTACTAAAAATGCGGGGTAAAACTTCAGTACAATCTTTACTAAAAATTTAATAATACATATTATCAGGCCTGGAAAGTTGTTGAAACAGGAATCATTTTTCGCAGAAAGCCAAATTACATTAAGCATAATTTTTGATACCGGCGTTCATCT